TAGATTCTGTGTTCTTTTATACAATAAGAGGGGTGTGCACTTCGACAATTTTTGGAGAATACGGAGGTGACGTACATAGTAAATATGATCTTTGTTTTCTGTCCCCACAGTTCATTGTACATCTGAATTAAAAACATCCTAACATGAGTTAACATGTGACATTTTCTATCACTAGGTTCCAACAAAAATGTGTTATCAATGCAGGGAAATGCAGTAAAGCCTAGCAGTGTTTGGTACTAGATTAATCATTAGAGGGAGATTCCCTATTGCTTGGTATACATCAAATTGTGAAGAAGAACAAAAAACAGTGGTGCTAGTTTTGTTGTTATACCTCAAATTTCAAAAGGGACAGTAAGTATTTTATGTGAGGATGGGAATGGCATTAAATACGTGTAGGTATGTATGAGAAAAACTATATACATATATAAATATATATATATATATACCTAGGGTTTAGTGCTATTCATGGATTCAGGAATCCACTGAGACAATATATTGCCTCCAGGTAAGTGTGGGGAGCGGTGGCAGCCAAACAAGCTCCATTTTAAGTTTACCCTCCGTTGTAAATAGTTAGGAGATTATGTTATGGGGAACCGTGTCCTTGCCAACTCCGATGCTTACCTTCAGAGGTTGCCTTAGAAACAAGATGAATGTTCTGTAACCTCAAGAAACAAAGTAGCCCTTGAGGGCGGGGAATGTTCTGAAAACTAGTAAACAAGGAAGCAGGTGCTTTTTGTATAAAGGTCATGATTAATGACCTAACTCACTGAGTGTATAAAAGAGAGGTGTAAATAAACTTGCTCGCTCGGTCTTGGGAGCCCTCCCGACTCTGTCTCTTTGTCTTATTTTTCTCAGTCCTCCTTTCCCCCATTCAGGAACCTTTCGACTGGTGACGGCTTGTCCGTCACAGGTAAGAGGGGACAAGTGTATGTAAAAATTGCTTTTCGTATATGTAAATGATTGTGATTTCTTTTAAACTATTCTTAATACTCATCTTTTGGACAAAGCATTAGCTAGAAAGGAAAAGCATCCCAAATGAGCAAGGCAGAAAAGATTAGTGAGGATAACTTCAACTTGATTTGAAATTATTTCCAGGACTCAGAGTTTTCACAGAACACTTGTTAAAAACCATGAATAAGGGCCAGGGATTTTTCAGCTCAGTGGTGCCACTCCTGCCTAGCAAGCACAAGGTCCTGAGTTCAATCCCTGGTACAAAAAAACATTTTTTTAAACCATGAATAACACTCTTATATGATTTTTCAGATTCAGTGCATGCAATACGTTATTATAGTTATCAAATTATGTCAAGAAATGTGCATTCCAACTTCAATTAATCCACTTCTAATTTTATTTCATAAAATCTTCAACAATTTCCATATCCTATTAGCAAAGACTTATATGCTGGCTGCCATACCAAGTAGTTTTAAGCTATACATATACATATTTTTCCCATCAAATACAAAGTGTAACATGGTTAATGACACTAAAAATGCATTCCAAATAAGAATTTTATGTTACAGTGTTAAAATTTACTTAACAAAATAGGCATATATTTGTTATTTTGAACAATTGGGTTTAATTTATGTAGTTTTGATCAAATATGCTAATAATAGGTATAACAGTAACTCTTTTCAGAATATTTTAATACCTAGAATCTTATAATCACAGGAAATAAATTCTAAAATTTTATATGCACATATGTGTTCTATATGTGTGTTTTTATTTACACATATATACAGTTTAAATTATTCAGACGATTGTAAAAGATTTTACAATAATTACATTCGGAATCATATTTGTGGAGGAAATTGAAGTGGAAATACAAATTCAAAGAGTAAAAAGGAAGATGTGGCTACTTTGAACGCTCAAAAAGCTCATTCACTTATTTTAAAAACAGCTCCTGGTGGTCATCAAATCATTACACCATTGTGAAACCCCTGCATACATGTGAAGGAGCAATTTAAGAGTTCTATGTCTAAATGGCAATGTGCACACCATGCAGAAATCTTGCTTTAAGCTTACAAAACGAAAAATAGATATCAATTTTAAAATGAGCAAAGGAAGCAAAAAAATTTGAACACATGTAAGAAGATATCCTGTGGCATCCACAATCTCTCGGGTCCCTGTAAACTCAGGCTGGGCTGCTGTGGACAGACTTACTGTCATAGCAGGAGGGATAGTGGAAGAATGTGGTCTCCCTAAGAGCTGACACCCCAAACCCATGGCAGCTCCCCTTCATATGAGGATATTCCCACCTCTGCTGCCCAAACTGGTTTTGGAGAATATAAGATTTATTTTAAAGCCTGACAGCTGGCAAATGAAAAAACATAATATGTTTTGTTGTTCTGCATTTGTCAAAGGCTTTAAAACAATAAAGCCAACTCCACCATAAATGCAATCATTATATACTGCAAGAATGTGCTAATAATAATAATAACAAGTAAAAAAATAAAGCCAAGAACGGTCCTTTTCTCTTTGTGCAATGTAAGTATCTTTTGAATCAGGTTTCTCATCAGAAAAACTGATTGTCAAGTTCTAGGTATACTTTTTAAAATATCCTTTAAACTGCTACCCTCTTTAAACAGTAAACAAATTTAATTTTTGAAATTGATTTTTAAAAGACATTGAGAATAACACATAACTAAAGAGATTTATGTTTTCAGAGAACTGTTTTGCCCTTACATTATCATAGAGACTTCACACTTGGACTATCTAAACAACTGCTAAAAACACTGAAACTAATGAAACAAGCACAGATGGAGCAAAAGTGCCTAAGCCATATATATCACACCTCCCTGAGCAGGAAAAATGTGTGATGAACAAATGAAGGAGTGTCCAGATCTCTAAACTTTCATAGCCTATGGGGCCCTCCACATTTTTCAGTTCATTTAGGTACAATGACTAGTTCACACCTCACCTTTTGAGCCTGTCTTGGCCACTTTCCTCATCACTGACATACAATACCTGACACCCACTGCTTAAAGAGAGGTTAATTTTGGCTCACAGTTTCAGTGGTCAGCTGGCTCCAAATCAGAAACGGCTTGGCAGAGGGACCTAGTACAGGAAAGCTGATCACATCATTGCAGTCAGGAAGCAGAGAAAGAAGGAAGGAGCTGGGGGAGTCATGCCCCCCAGTGAACTGCCTCTTCCATCCAGATCCCATTAACAGCACATTCAGCTAAATTAATTTACCGATGAGTATAGTGCCCCATGTTCCAGTTACCTGCCAAACACATGAGGCCTTTAGAAACACTCCAGATCTAAACCATAATAGAGCCACTGGCCCACTTCTCACTCGGTGAGGTCATGCTCATTAGTGTAGTTCTACACCCAAGTCTTCTCTCTCCTATGACATAATAAACTAATCAAGGGAAGGATTAGTGCCTGAACAGTCTTTATGTTTTGTCCCACATCTCCATCCTCATGTAATATAGGGGCTGAAAAGACATAGGAAAGAAAATGAATGAGACAAATAAAGAATATGATAGTCTTTAGTGATTGGAGAAGTGTGTAACAACAATGATATAATAACAGAAATAGAAAAGTTGAAACCTAAGCAGTGAAATTACATAAAAACTAAACATTAATTGTAAAAATTAATGGATCAGGTTTCCTAAAAGACTGCATTAATTTGAACCTGTAAAATTAGTTCTCTGAATCACTAAGTCCTAGGAGTCCTGAGAAAAGTGGAAAAGAATCTGAGATGGGCTTGGAAAGGACCATTTGTTTTTCTGGCACCCTTAGCTGCCAGGCAGCCTCCATGCTGGGAACCAAACGCATACTGAGACTTTAGGTAGCCATTTGCTTTCTTCTCCTCTCCCTGGAGAGATAGAACCTGAGGACAGATGGACTCATAACATCCCAAGTTGGGGCACAACACCACTTCTTCAGTACCATGAAGCTGTCCAGGAGAGATTTAAACTGCAATTTCCCAAGGTGTGGAATATAGAGACAAACTTTCTCATAGTATATACAAGAGAGAAAAATCAGATTATTATTTATTTTGTTAAATAGTGTACTTGATAAATAGGACCTGATTCCAAGTTACTAATAGTATACTAAAAGAGAAGGGCACATCATAAATAATGACAATTGTGGAATATGATGAACATTCCCAGAGAGATCAGGTAGCCCCTGGAGGGACTTTAGAAGTGTTTGTGGAATTCTCTTGAGCTAAAAATCTGAGCTCTCATCCTCTCCAAATGCAGCATAGACCACATGGACAATGGCAGTATCTAACATGACTTATCTCTAGGTACATTTTAAGAAACTATTCAAGGTTCTCTCTAATGCCTACTTCATTCATATCCATAAGCTTTTGACTTTGCTCTTATTGTGGCTTAAATATATTTTCTAGCATTCGCTGTCTTCCAAAATTTTATTCATTTAGTCATATTACAGCTGAAATGCCAACTTACATATAAATTTGCCACATCCTAATAGGAATTATATACTGCTTTCTTGAATTTCTATAGCACATTACTTATATAGCTCTATGTAGTGGTTTCATCTTGCTTCATATCATATTTATTCATGTATACATTTGTCTCTCAGTTCAAACTATGACTTCCTTAGGTTATCTATCCTTCTGATCTCAACAGTATTTATCACTGTGCTCTGAATACAGAACCATATTTTATAGGAGAAAGAACCAGTATCTTTGTGTACAGAATACTTGGATTCTGATCCCAACTGATTCATTTATGAACTGTTTAACTTGAGCTTTACTTAACTTTCCTATGCCTCCATTTCTCCATCTGAATAAAAACTAACATTTGCTTAAGGTTGTAATAAGGACAGGCCATAATAAGTGCAAAGTATCTGGTAGATAGATTATCACTAAGGGCAACCATTGCAACTTTTACTGCAATAATTATAAGAAACATATTGGATAAAAATGCAAAACTACCAAGTATCCACAGTAACTAGCACATCGTGGCAGTTGTAAACAACTTGACTTTGGCTTGTAGAGGGTGAAGTCCCTAGTATTAGTGACCTACCTTGAACTCTTTCTCAATGTTGGCCAGCACTGCCAGCTCATTGCTAAGTTCTAAAGCTGTCATGACTGGATCTTCACTAGACAATGACAGGTAAGCTGGACTTGCCAGGCCCTTGTAGGCATTGATCCTAGATCTGGAGTGGCTAAAGGAGTCATGCTTTTGTTTCTGATTACATTCATTGCACTTGCAGAAATAATCATGAGGCCGTTCAATCCGTGCACCTTTCCGCAGGAGAGTGTGAACAATTTCATATTCTTGGCAATGGGCAGCCAGAATGATTGGAGTCACGTCGTGAGAGAACCTGGTCCCATCCTCATCATAGGCATAAAAATCATCTTGCTGTAGTTCAGACTGGCTAGGACTTGTTGCTAACCTTTTACCTTCAGCAAAAGCTGGGTGACTAAGAATTGCTTCCACAATCCGGACATAACCTTTACTGATAGCTAGAAGCAAAGCATCTCCAACCCGAGAGAGGTTTTCTTTCTTGAGAAGAAGCTCTGTAATTTCCAGGTGCTCATTGGCCACTGCCAATTGCAGGGCATTCTGGCCCATGTAATCCACACAGTTCACATTGAGGGAGAGGCACTCTTCTAACATTTTCCGCACCACTGGGATGTTGCCGTATTCAGCTGCATCTAAAAAGCGTTCCTCCTCAATAGATAGGCTTGTTGAGTGATCATTAAACATGTATGCTGGTCCTCGATTAGCTAACCTTCTCCCTTTCTCACGAAGAACTGTCTGCCGCCGATGAGTTAGTCTGTTGTCAGTGCCCCGGCTGCAATAAACAGAAAGATTGTGAACAAATCATATTAGGAGCATTTTAGTGTGCCAAAATGACCTAACATTTACCTAATGCATTTCTCAGTATATTAGATGTTGTCTCACCATCTCTAGACTTCCTATAATATAAAGTGAAGATGCATTTATTTGTTAATGGATTCTAAGAACTCCTTTAAAATAGCTAAGCAGGTTATAGACTTTAACATTCCATTGTGGGGTGGAGACTGTCAATTGCCATACCTTTTCTGAACCATTCACACAGAGGTTAACTTGTGTTTCTCAACTACATATGGTAAAGATTTAGAAATTCTAACTCTCCTATGCATAATCAGTCACCAATATGATGGTGTGGAATTACTTTTAAAAAGTAGGAACAACAGCAAATTCATTCAAGTCATCAATATTTGTTGAGTCCCTCCAATATTTGTTTAGGCATTGTATTAGGCCTAGGAAAATAAATGGTAAAAGAAAAAACAGGTACTCTTCAACCCTTCAATATAGTCTAAAGAGAGAAAAAGTCAATGGACACATTTTCCTGTTATTAGCTCTTTAGTTGTCATGATAAGCCTATAGCAGAAGCACCTAACCCAGCTTCTGAGAAGAAATGGTATGTTGAAAATGGAAGGATTAGTAGTATGTTCTGGCAAGGTGACACAGGGGTTTCAGGCAGATGGAGAACTTTCTCCAGCTGAACTGCCAGATGCTAAGAGAGAGGTTGCATTAACAGGGACAATTAAGGCTTCAGCTCTGCCATTCTCAAAGTCACTGAAAACTTGAAAAAGTGATCAAGATGCCAGGTAGGAAGGAACACTTCTGTGATAGAGTCACTGGTGAAAAAGTGGCCTGCCCTCAAGGTAGGCCATCAATGTGTGATAACAAATTAAAGTTCTTCTCCTGTAATCAAAATGCTATCAATAGGGGATTTTATTCCCTATTGATTCATATATTTCTGTCTTAAGGTCTTTTTTGAGCTTGAAAGTCTTTAATTCAAATTAGAGTTTCCAGTCTTATTACTGTCACTAAGTGGAAATTCAAAGTGGGACAAGTTCTTGCAGAAAGAAATGAGGGAGGGCCAGGTTAAGGAGGAGGTGTTAAGAAGGACAAAGCCATGACAATGAGTATTGTTTTTTCTCTTCATAAATATTCCAAATGTCATGCCTGTTTAAAGACTACCATATACTTCCTGAATAAAGGCTCAAATGGCATCCAAAGACTTGATAAACCATCTTCCCCTCCAGTGTTGCCAGGTCTAGAGAATCTAATAGGTTTTTCTTCTAGGTCTTATCCATCTTGATACCAAATTTCCAGGCAATGTTGTTGGTGGTAGTGTGATGCCATCAATAGAAAAACAATAAAATTTCATCAACTCACAGACAGATGATTATAATTTTCCAAGGAATCTGGAGTATGCTGCCATATTCACAAATATTTTTCATAGATTTTCATCCACCTGTGATTCATTTAGCTATCAGAGGTCTTCAAAGCCAACAAAACTGATATTTTATGTGAATTTAAAAAGTGAAATGAAGGGCCAACAGCCAAATATATGATAGTAGTATTTTCTAAGTTGGGTCTTTAGATGATGCATATGTAACTTAGCTTTGTAGCAAAGGAATAATTTTTATAACAACTTTTTCTGGATAGCTATTATTTTGTTTTTAATTCCAGTTTAATTTTATCAAGGTAATGAATACATATTTTAAGTAGTCTATTAAATGTTACAGAATAAGAGGCTTTTGTTCTTCATTTTTCCCACTCTCTGATCTCAGAGGCAATAAATTTCAATTCAACTATTTTAGCTGATTATTTTATAATTTAAAGCTTTATATAAAGTGTGATTATATTTCTATTTCTTAATTTTTCAATTTTAGTATATGTGCTGCTAAAGCAAGCACATTTTCTTGATTTTTCAGATTTGCCATTACCTATGGACATCCCATAATAAAGGTTGAGGGTTTGGCTCATTTTTACACACCATACTTCTATACTTGTCCCACACATACATCCACATATGTGCACACATATGCACCCCAAAGTCCTTTGTAATTTCAAGATAGTTATATAATGAGTATCTTTAGTTACCTATTTAGTGTTAACATTATGATAATGCAAATGCTTGTCAAAGCTAAGATCAGTAGTGTACTATGGTATCTTTTCTGGCTCAGCGTCCCTATGACCTAAACTCCAGTAGTTAAAAATTATCTTCATTTGGTTAATGCTCTGTGTACATATGAATAATTCAGTCAAATTCTTATCTCCTTCAATATAAATCTTATTTTAGTACATTCAACATACTATGTGATTTCCTATCAATTTTAGCTTATTTTCCCCATATTTTTCATTGTATTAATTCTACAGATTAATGGTTTTATTTCAGCAAATTTTTACAGGTACATAACCTACTTTAATCATTTCCTTCATCACAGCTGGCCCCACCCTCTTCTAGTTCCACATGATTTTAGGGGCATTTCAATGTATGTGATGCATATTGATCATACTCAACCCCCCATTCCCATCCTTATACTTTCTCTTTATACTCCCTTTCCCCATCCTCTTGTTTAATAATTTTAGCTTTTTGAAGAATCATTTCTGTGGCCCCCTAATATGCTAATATTGACAAGTTGCTTTCTAGACTTCATAAATTTACACTGCCTCTGAATCTACTTTTTCCTGCAATCCCAAGGATAGGTTGCTTCACTTTTGTTTTGGGTCCCTAGTTTTCCGTATTCCAGATCTTACTCTTTATTAGTTTACTTTCTTATTCTAATATAGCACTTCTTCCAGTAGGTGACTGAGAATGCATGTATGGAAGGTAAATTATTTGAGATTAACCATGTCTAAAATGACTTATCCTATCCTCAAACTTGATAGTTTGGATGAATAAAGAATTCTAGGTTGTGAAATAGGAAGAAAAAGTCTAAAGGGAAAGGGAAAGTAGGAGGGGTAGAAGAAAGGGAAGAAGGGAAAGGAATAAATATGAGAAAAGGGAAAAACAAAAACAGTCTTTGTAAATAGGGAGGGGTGGGGTGGTTGAAGGGAGGGCAGGGGAATGGGGAAAAAAATAAGAACCAAAGTATATCATGTAAGGTACAAATTCCCAATGATGATATTATATTGTACACCTAAAGTGTACCAATAAACTTAATAAATAGATAAATAAATAAATAAATAAATAAAAGAATTTCAGGTTAATAATTCTGATGACATTCCTCTGTTAGATTCTAGTTTTTGTAGCTGTTATTAAAAGTATGATACAGTTTTGATTCTGAATATTTCCTTTGTTTTCCCTTCAAACATGATTACTGGAAGGAGTCTCTTTTCCTCCATAATGCTGGATACTCGTTAAAACCTTTTAATCTTGAGGGAAAATGTGTCTCTGCCTCATTTCTCAGATAATTCTATTTCCTGTTTTCAGGGTTCTATTTCTGAAACTCTCTTTGGATGCTGGACATTCTATAATTGTTGTTTAATTTTCTTATTTTTCTCTCTCTTTACCAATCATTTATATTTTGGTATTATATTCCAAGAGATTTCTTTATCTTCTAACATACCTATGAACATTTTCCTGGTGTTATATTCTAATTTTTAGGAATATCTTTTTTTCTTCAAACGTTTCTTTATAGAATATTTTTCTTCTTTCTAAAGTACAATATCTTTTCTTGGCTCTCTGGGACATTAGTTATACAGACTACAGAGAGAGCTGCTCCTAGTTACTTTTCTATATATTGTTTTGGTCTCTTTTTTATATTAGTTTTTTAAAAATTAATTTTATTGGTACATTTTAGGTATACAATATAATGACATTCATCATCAATAATGTGAAATAGGAAGAAAAGGGGAAGTGGGAGGGTAGGGGAAAGGAAAGAAGGGAATGGAATTAACATGAGAAAATGAAAAAATGGAAACAGTCTTTTTTATATTAGATTTTCCTTTTATATAAGTAATGATCCTTAGTAGATACTCTTTTCCACTTTTAAAAGAAATATTCCAACATTTTTTTTTCTAAGAGAGTGGAGTTTTCTCTTGGGAGAACTGGACTGAAGCAAAAGTTGATTTGGCAAAAGATGATCTTCAGTTAAAGGGAATTTCTGGAGGAGCAGTAGTATTTCTGAGTTAACAGGACAGATGAAGTAAAAAAGACATGATGTCACCAAGCTTTGTTACCTGAGCAATCATCCATCATCCTCCTTCTGAAATTCTTAACTTTCTTCCCTTCTGTCAGTTTTCTGCCTTCTAATAAATGCTTTAACCTTTTACTCTCTTCTTCTATATTTATTACTTTATTTAGTTTCTCTTGTGGGAAAGAGAAACTTCAGAGATTAGGGGGAGAGGAGGTGTTAATTGAATATGTAGAATGTTTGAAAAAGAAAAAAATGTAAAATTAAGGGAGATATGACCTAGGATCATGGGATTTATACAAATGCAACAAAAGTACTGGAAGTATTATATATATATATATATATATTATGTATTTTATATATATATTATATATTATATATATATGGTATATAGTATATGTGGTGTACTCGATGTTCACTTGCCTAGCAAGTCTAAGGCCTTTTTAATCACCAGCACCACAAAAGAAAAAAAAGTACTAGGAGTGGAAACTTGCAAAAAAAAGTTTTTTGTGAATAAAAAATGCACAAAGTGTCATAAAATGGAGACAAGAACCAAAAAGATCAAGAAACTATTTTTTATTTTTTCATCCATTAAAATGAGAAAATAATTATTCTAGCCTATCTCAAAGGGATTGCCTTTTAAACTCAATTGAAGTTATGAATGTGACAAGCACTTAAAATCAAATCGCATTTTTTTTACAGCCACAGGAATATGCACTTAAAAGAACAAGGAGCACATTTGGACTTTGTCATTTTTCAGTTGTTATTCAATTAGAAGATCCATGAAAAGGTGGAAAAAAATGTGATGGAAACTGATGCAAGAAACTTTTGTCTTCTTAAGGAGAGAAAAATTATTATCAGTAAGTTTATTCATATC